TGGACCTGGGGTCCCTGTGCAGAGAAGCTCCTAATCTGGGAGAAGACTGATGAAAAGCCTTCCCCTGGAGCTGACGCTCTGAATTTGGACTTTTAGCCTACTAGACTGTGAGAAAACAATTTCCGTTTGTTAAAGCCATCCACTTGTGGTATTTCTGTTAGAGCAGCACTAGATGACTAAGACAAGCAGATATGTCTTCTTCTCCTCCATGGTATTGTCAAAGCTCACTTCCTCACCCCCTAACACATTGTCTTCGGCTATACTGTAATTAAAAACTTACTTACCAAAATAGACTGCAATGCATAAAAATGTTTCATTACATTAGTTTATAGACTACACAGAAATTCACAGCATTTAATTTTGGCTACTAACTTAAACTGGCTCTCAGTGAAAAATACAACTAAACTAAACTAAAAAGCACAGGGCATTTAGTATTGTACTAAAATGTATTCTGACTGAAAATAAGCAATCTGTTTTTTTTTTTCTTCACTGTTAAGATTAGAGCACATTAATAACATTAACTACAAATATTTTAGACTTAAAAAATACGATCCATAGCTCAATTTTAAAAATTTTTAAAATACACTTGATCAGTACTCTTTCTATTTGAATTTTGCTAATAAAAACATATATAAAAGACTTAGTAATAATAAAAGCCTTTTCATCTTGACTTTAAATGCCAAGTGATTTACTCTGGGGCCAATCAAATCAGGGAATGGGACTGGTGAGTGTTCTGTGAAACTTCTATTCAACAATATTTTTAATATTAAAAAATGGACTACTTATAGACCAGTGTTTTTATTATCAGGGAAAAAAATTTTAAATGGCTGAGTTTGGCTTGAAAATTTGAACAAAACATGGGTTAGAATTCTGCGGTACAAAAGTATGTGTCTTGACTTGCCAAGTGTCTCAAGTTGGCCCAATTATTATACCCATTTTATAGATGAGACCATTAAAGTTAACTTGTCCAGGATCACACAGACCTTGTGGTAGAGCTGTGGTTTGAATCTAGATGGTCTCATTCCAGATTCCATGCCCTTGACCATTCTGCTGTACTGCATCCCTATAATGTAGGTTATCCCTGAGAGTTACGCAGTATTCTCAGTTCACTATATGGTGGTATTACCTACTACAACAGCCCAAATATTTTCTCTCTGTGAATGACTTCTACAACTATGAATCCAGCTCTACTCAGCTTTTTATGTTTCAGAGCTGCAATTCAACTGCCTGCTAGGCTTTTTCACATGGCTGAGCCCTGGTAACGCAGTGATTAACAGCTACAGCTGCTAACCAAAAGGTCGGCAGTTCAAATCCCCCAGCTGTTCCTTGGAAATCCTATGGGGCAGTTCTACTCTGTCCTATAGGGTCACTATGAGTCGGAATCAATGCGACAGCAACAGGTTTGGTTTGGTTTTGATCCCATAAGTACCTTAAATCAGTATGTACAAAACAGAACTTGTTTTCTTTCTCCTTGCCTCACTTACACTTGCTTTTTACGTTGGTTGGTGGCATTACCAATCTCCCACTTGATCAATTATAGAATCATTTTAAATTCTGTCTTATTGCTCACATTCTGGCAATCATCAAATGTTGTCAACTGTTAAACTTTCATATGTCTCATGTTCATTCATTCATTTATATCCTCATCATCACTATCCTATCTCAGGTCTTCAATATCATGCAACTTACCTTTTAGAACAGCTCACTAACTAGTCTATTTCTAGGTTCTCTTCTCTCTCAAACAATTCTATACAATGCCTTAAGAGTTACTTTCCTTTAACATAGAGCTGAAGTTACCCTCTGCTAAAAAAATCTTCAATGGTTCACCAACGCACATAAAATAATATGCACATTTCTTAATTGGCATTCAGTTTCTTATTGCTTAGGTAGTTCTGCTCTCTTCGGTTTGGTCATCCATCTATATGCTTTCACACTTTATACTCAAAACTTCATAATCTTTTAAACCTCTATTATAGCACTCTGCATTACATCAGTTACACATATCTCTGCTTCTGTCAATTGACTGTGAACTCTCTGAGGACATCCACGCCAAGTCATCTTCACAGTCCCCTGAGGACTAAACACTATGTTATGCTCATAGGAGTTGCTAAAAAAATCTTTGTTGAGTTGATGGGGACTATATGTATGTACAATACATACAAAGAGCTTATACGCGTATCAATTTGACCCAAAGCAGAAGTGTATACAGCAATAACACACCACCTTTGCAATTAATACTTTCAGCCAACATTAGGATAAAATATGACATTGTCTTTATCCTTTAATCCGCTCATGTAACGGTTGTTCAAACTTCGAAATAAAATACTCTGTTAACTAGGACTCTCTTTAAAAAACATTGTAATGGTACAATGGTATGTGTAATAATGTGTCTAAAACACTGAAAGATCTTTAACTGCCTTCTAATTCAAATGGGAATTAATATAGTATCTTCCAGTGTAATTTTTGGGTTGAATGTATTTTATCCAGTCATCTGTAAAGGTGGTATTGTAGCTTTGTTTACACTAACATTCATAAAACCAGTATAATCCGTCAAATTCCTATTGGAAGGAAATTTATACCTACATAATAACAGAGAAACTGAGGCAGGAGCTACATGTATTGGGGGTCCCTGGAATAAAAGTTTCTTCTTCAAACTGAAAGACCAAATACGCTATACTTTTCTTTTACTCTTTATATTCCTGATGGATCCTGTTTTTGTGCTTTGAGTTTAAATACAGGTAAATAATTACTGCATACAGATTTAAAGAGTACTCATTAAGTGATATAGCCCTAAATTCAAAACAAAAAGAATATGCCAAAGCATACAAAGATTTTTGTAATAAATTTAAATTCATCATTATGTTTTTCAAGTAACAGTTTCTTGACCTATGGCTCCTTAATAAATAATGCCCTCAGCATGTGTTTTATTTAAGTGACTGATAGTGATAACCCCTTTAACGAAATAAAATTATCACATTCTATTTAAGTTGGTGATTGACAGCCATACGAAAATAAATTTTCTCATGTTAAGTAAACTTCTCACTGCCCTGAAGAAATATCAAATATTAACATTAACTTTCTTTCTTTCCATACTTTCTATCTTTCCTTCCTCCACCCCATCCCCATTTTTTTCTCCTTAAAAATAACATCTTTGGCTTTGAGATAAACGGCTGAAACATACACCTTGAAAAGTTAAAATCCCAAAGGCAAGTTTTATTAGAACACTGCTACTGACAAACTAGGAGAAAAAAGCATAAAATCATTACAGAATAAATGGCCTGACCTTCGATTCTTGTTATGGATAGTAAAAACACATAATCACAAAATGAAAAAATATAATATGCAGCCCCTATTCTCTTACCCCTTTGTATTATAACCTTTTCTATTTGGGGAAAGGGGAGTTGCCCAGATGGACTAAGGTTTTTGGTCTTTCTAGTTACGGTAGAGAGCTTGAGAGGGGAGGCCTCTGAGAGGAGACAGACATAAACTCCAGTTCCCTCAGGCACCACCTGAGTTTGTGCAGCAGGACATCTCATCTCCTCCACAAGGAGAAGAAAAAGGATGAGACAAGAGCAAGGCCTGCTGTTGCCCGCCATGTCCAGAACAACAAAAAGTGTGTCAAGATTCTCCCATTACAGGCCTTTTGTGAGCCCATAATGATCCATACTCCCAAAGAACACATATGAGCCTCTTCTAACCAGAACAATTAGTTTAAAATGCTTCAACAATATACTCTCATAAAAACTGACTTACATGGTACAACAAAAATGTTCTAAGCAGTATTATGAGACTAGGAGGACATGTTCTCCAATAAAAGCAATTGCAGGTGAATAGCCATTAAAAACAAAAAAATAAACATTACATTAAACTAATGAGCTAGAAAAAAGCACAAATCACAGAAGTCAACAGAGTAAAGAAAAAAAAGATAACCACTGATTAAACTATGGTAAAAGTTTCTTTTTTTTAAAGCATCTGTGGATTACTATATATAAGTCCTTTAATAATGTTACCAAGTGTAAAACTCAAAGCATAGGGAAGACAGAAACATTTTAGTATGTATATGGTGAAAATGTTTAGGCGACATCTAAAACTGGTATAAAACACCAGTTGCCATTGAGTTGTTGACTCATAGCAATCCCTACTGAGTCAACTCCAACTCACGGCAACCTATGCGTATCAGAGTAGAACTGTGCTCCACAGGGTTTTCAATGGGTGATTTTTTCGAGGTAGATCACTGGGCCTTTCTTCCAAGGCGCTTCTGGGAAGACTTGAACTGTCAACCTTTTGGTTAACAGCCAAGTGTTTAATCACTTGCATGATATACTGCAATAAAATTTAAAATCTTACAAACCTTTATTAAAAAAAAATTTTAACTACTATAACGTCTGTTTGAGAATAACCTCTCTTAAATGTTCAACCACAATGTTATCAATTAAAAATTCTGTCTGCAGCACAAATTTTATTTTATATAATCTGATTTAATATTCAAAATAAGTATATTTTGATTTAACTAAAGATACAAGGTTGAACAAACTATACTTGATGAATTCATAAAAGACTAAAAATCTGCCTATTCTAATTCTCCCCAAAGAACATTAGCAACACATCTCTAACAAGTAACACTATTACCTCTTTGGAAGTTAAGAACAGTAGTTTACCCTCACAATTCTTAATTATATACAGCTGCTACTGTCTTTCAGTAATTTTACTAACTCATCAGCATCTCTATTGGAAATGAATAAAAAGGGAAGGGAAAGACCAAAAAATAACAATAATCCTACAATATGTTAGTAGCACTGGAATGAAAACAAACAAACAAACAAAAAACAAAATGAAAAATGCTGGATGGAATGTAACTACAGATAAAACTGAGTTCATAATTATGAGTGAATTTCATTTCCTGGACTATCAGTACAAATAAAGTAAAAGCTAAACTTTATTACCAAGTTGAAATGGCAAATAATGTCAACTCTTATTAAAGATAATCCATTAAAACCAACCTCGCTATCTCTTCTCGATGAGCAGTCCAATCTCGGATGTAGTCTTCCTGTTCTTTTATCCGATGCTTGAATGAAGAACTAGTAGACATTGTTGATCCACTGCTCTGCAATCGAGTGGTTTTCAGGGCTGGAGAAGTACGTAGACGGGTATGTTTAGGGGAATTACGGTTTGATCCAAATTCATCTTCTGAAGTGGAAGCATAATCAGTTGGAAAGCGCCTCCATCTTGAATTTACTAAATTAGTTTAATTATTAAAAAAAGAATTATTATGTTATCTTTTAAAGGAGACAAAATAAAAATCATGATTTCAGAAACACCATGAGAGTACACACAGCACAATTTTCAAAAACTGACATACACATACCTCACAAAAACCATAAGTCTACTACTCCTTAAAGATAGAAACATTACACTTTGGTGAAATAAAAACAATGAATAATTAAAACCAATTGAAAGACTGTATTTTCTCTAGCATGGTAAACAGACGTTCACATGAAAAATCTCACTAATGGTAAACAACTAAGCAAGCTCTATTCATAAATGTTTAACTTGATACCTTTTAATTGCAAATATTTATTCTCATCAGAGTGCAGATATGGGTTTTTGTTTTTTTTTTTAAATGACAGCAACAACACAACAAAAATAAAAACATGGGAAAAGATTTCCTCATGCCACATGGACTTTCAACATGGAGATGGTAAAAACCCTCTTTTCCCAACATACAAATGTGCATAATTCCTACTGTGGAAATTATGCCTTTATGGCAGAAAAAAAAACATTACCTCTGTCATTCAACATCCTGTTATGCTACAGTTGGAAAAAATCTTTTTACGTGGTAAAAAAAACACAACAAAGCATCTTCAGTACAACTCTGCTGCTTTGACACTGAAAGCATATGGTGAAAATAGACAATGGCATAAAAACCTACAAGAAGCAGATCTCTACAAGTTATTCTCACAACCACTGACATTCAAGCACAGGAGATACTGTGAACAGCCACATTAAAGAAAGTGGAAATCACTTCTTTAAGGTTAATAAAGACAGTTTAAAAATGGTATTGTTGACACACTTGAAAAATCAGAAGACAAAGTAGACATTTCACTTCCAATATGAGAATCAAACACATAAGTAATTTGTGACAAATAAGTAGAGATAAAAAAAACAGGGAGATAATGGCTACTTCATGGTAAACGTCACGAGGGCAGGACTATGTATGCGGAATGAGTGGTCGTGTATACCTAGCACTTAGCAGAGTATCTGGCCAATAGGTATCTAATATGTATTTTTGAATAAGTGAATGAATTCCTGGATACAGAAGATTTGCTTTTCTAAAATGAGGAAAAACTTACTAAGACATGTTTTTGGTGACTGAAGTGACGAAAGCTTAGCATCTGCTAAAACATTTACAGCTGTTGTTAATACCAGACGAGTTCTTTTCCGCTCATTCTAACACAAACTCACCCTAGGCTGTGTAGGCTACTCAAGTCCAGAATTCCTTTATCCTACTCCACTAGAAATTTTATGTGTTTCATGTCTTTTCCTCCCAAAGCTACTTCTTTTTTTTGGCCCGGGGCTCTCTAGGGCTGAGCTGGCACTCAGATAAAACATACACTACCACTAGAGTTGGCTTAAGAAACAGAAATCTACAATTAGGAATACACTATTGGAGTGTATCCATTTGTCTTGATTCACACCCTTTATGTTTGGTCTTATTTTGAACTCCTGAGGCTATGAGAGAATGGGCATAGGCAGCAAGCTCATGGCTTTCTGTAAAAGTGTATGCAAATGCATATACAGAATTGTAGGTAATTAATCACAGATTTTTTTGAAGAGCGGTTTAAGTATAATTTCTGATTTTACTCATTTTTAAACATTTTAAAACTTCCATGCACTGAACTGACCCTGAGACCTGCACACAATAAATGAGCTGAGAATTCTTATTTATAAGAGAAAAAAATCATGTATTTACCTGTGTGTATTTTATAACATTAATTAAAGTTTAGGAATAAAAGCAAAGAGATTTAGAAAAAAAAAAATAGGGATGTGGCAAATGAACTGCCAGATTTGTACTTTTCAATAAAGTCACATTTTTTTTTACCTTAGAATATTTTTCATAAAAGTAAATTCATAAATAAGTAAAAGATCATTTGTTAGATTAAATTTCCTGATTTTTAATTGGGAAACTATGATCACTATGCCTATAACTGAAAATTGTTTGGAGAGAAAGCCAGAAATAGAGTTTTAATAAACTGCAGAAGATACAAAAACATAAGCAAGTATGATGTAACTAAGGTTGTTAATCTACAGGTAATTTAGTAAGAATGGCATCAATGGCTGCTATATTTTATGAGTGGCAGGGTACATGAAAACAGAATGAGAAATTGTATAGCAAGTGTTATTAATGTATGTTAAATGTCAGGTGAAAATAGGTAAGTACAGGTAGTCCCCAACTTACAACGGGGTCCCGTTCTGACAACCCTGTCATAAGGTGGTTCTGATGAAGTCAAATACCTCATCTTTTAAAGTTTTCATTATCATTGGCTTTTATCATCAGTATCTTTATAAATCTGATCTTTATTTGTCTTTGGGGGTTGGCTTGAGAATAACATCAGCAAATTACGTACTGAGACATTGTATGTAGTACACAGTACTAACGATAAAATGTACCAAAAAAAGGACAGTCGTTAAGTATGGTTTGTCGTAACTCAAATACGTCATAAATTGGGGACTACTTGTAGTCTGAATCTACCTGCGGTCTGTGAAACAATTACATTTAGGGGGGAAGTAAACGAGAAACTTCCTTTTCAAAAAAAATTTATAAACTTTCCACCTATTTTCATAAGTCAGTCTAAAAGACAGAAAGAACAGTGAGCCTTCTAATGATACCTTCAAAAAAGAAAAGCAATCAAAGGAGTAAAATCACATTTTAAAAAAGTGAAAGGTATCTTTAGGTTTGTTCTCTTATAAGCGAGGGTAGAGTGAGAGGATAAAACATGAAAGCATATGAATAAGTAGGATACACCAGAGAAATGAAAATATGATTAATAAATCTTCAGGTTGCTGAGCGATGTCTTTACCAATGGAAAACAAGTCATGCACGGTGTGCTATGAAGCAAAGCTCAGGTTAGCTCAGACCTCTTAGCTTATATAACAGCAGAGAATAAATCTGATATTGAGTGAAATGATGACTATTAGTGGAAAAGGGATTGGAAAAGGGGAGTTTAATGCCAGGACCTCTAACCTGTTACTTTCTCAAAGGACTTCTTTCAAAGCTTTTTGCTTTCTTGATCTTTGCTTCCAAACCATAGCAATTATAAATTTTATCTGAAGAAAACTGCCTAAAATATGCCAGTTAATGCAGAGAAAATTTCAAGTTATAATGTTTTTAACTTTCCCCAAGCCTTCTTATTTCATTTTATTCTAATACTAGAACGGACTGACACAGTGGCTCCAACAATGGGCTCAAGCACAGCAATGATTGTGAGGATGGTGCAGGACTGGGCAGTGTTTCGTTCTGTTTTATGTGGGGTCAGTGTGAGTTGGAATTGACTCGAGAGCACCTAACAAGAAGAAGAATGTCCTTGAACATGAGAGTCCAAAATCTCCAATTTACAGAGAAGAAACAGGCCATGTGATTTGACTTGTTAAAATCAGTGTAAGATCTACTGACTCCCAGAGTTCAAAATGCACAGGGGCTTTACAATTAAATGTTAGAAAATCTCTTTTTCACATTTCTAATCAGACTAGTTTTTTAAAAAGACATTTACAATTTCTCATGGAATAACAGTTTTTTTAATTTCTACCTGTGGGAAGTGTTGAAGAAAAATTCTACTTTTTCCTCCTGAATTTTATTCTGCTTAGCTAAAATCATTTCTAAAACTCAACTCAATTTTATATAATTAGGCTTATTCGATAGTAACATAAATATTACTAAGGCATTTAAGATAGATCATTAAATTGAAAAATTTTCATTGAAGATATGTGGAATGCCAGTCTCTAAGAAGTGCCTTGGCTACCAGCAGAGACTTCACCACATTTTAAAAGAGAGCAAGTTCCAAGATAGGCTTAACTAATCCTGTAGCTCACCTGAAACTTATTCTAGTTACTAGATTATAAAACTTATTTTGGTTATAAAATTATGCAATACTCCCTCTTGTGGAAGTACTACGCAACTATATTCACCATAAAAAACATCATTCATGATGTCTAGAGAATTAAAAACGGGAAAAAGTTATTAGGATCATATATCTGTGAATGCTGATTTCTTTTAGTGTTAACTAAAACTTCTTTGACATTAACACACATTCACATTTCCAGGTTTAATGAACACTTTTCAGAAAACAAACATAACCTCTTTAGACTTTTTATCAGAATATTTCCGTGGGAGATTAACTGCAAACATGTTTACATGTTCATTTACGTGCATGTAGCAATACGATCGATCATTTGGGGAAAAAAATCCCTGACAATTTTCTGTATTAGCTTTTGGTATGGAGGAAGAAATAACTCAAGCCATGCATATTGAACAAAAAATTCCTACCATCTATAAATTTTGAGGATTAAAATAAGGAAGGGAAAGCAGTCTGAAAAAATTTCTAAGGACATTAACATAATGTTTTATTTTCTAGATTATGCACTTAAAACATAATGAAAACCAGCTGTTTTATGTTGGTAATTCAGGGTACTTAATTTTAAATATATCTTATAAAAAATCTGGAACTTTTGCCTAAATTATGCTTTATTTGAATACATTTCTTTTTAAAAATAATAAGAAATTTAACCATACTCTTAATTTCTAAAAAATGCCATGATAGTTATTTATTACAACTTGATATTGAAGGACTATTTAAGGAATTTGGGGGGAATACCATTAACTCCTAAAAGCAAATCACATCACAGCTAAAGAAACATAAAATAATTCTTACCCTGAATTTGGCTACATCAGGTATTTCCATTCCTCTATTTTTGTCATACACATTTCTTAAAAAACACTTTTTAGACACAGTCTAAAATATGGAATTTGAAAGAGTACACAATTGTTTTTACATATGCCAATAGGCTCTAGGCTTAGATCTTTCCAAGATCTTCAAAGTTTACAGTGGCACAGAAATACTGAGTAGTCTGATTTCATATTCTTTTACATTATATTTCAAAAGCTAAGAATTTTTCCTTTTCCATTCAAGGTATTATAAGTAGAAATATCATAATATTAAAGAAACCTCATTTAAACATACCAAAAAGTTTTTTTTGTTTTTTTTTTTAAACCTACCCCATGAAACTATTTTAATATGCTCCCCGCTGACTGACTGGTTATTCTGAAAGAATCTGAATACACAACCCTGGATGATCACAACATGGCCTTAGGCCCATAAGGTAGACCAGATAACACAAGCTGGGTAAAATATTAGAATCAGAAACACTAAAATGAACAACACCAAAACCTTCATATTGTAAAGTGACCTTGTATACACTCCTGATAACAATCCAATAGATTCTGGCTGTCCTCTGGATGCTTGAACAGAAGTCGGCACTCAGAGACTATTTTGTAGAGCTAGAATAGATGTGCTAGAAAAACCAAATGGCCGGAAATTAAGACACTTGGATTCTCATCTTGTCCCTGCCATAGCTATGTGACCAGGGCAGGTGATTTCATCTTGGCCTTAGTTCCCTAACTGAATAACTATCACAGATAACGTATCCTTCAAGCTCTTAAATTTCATGATTCTAATTATTTAATATACTGCTATTAAGTATGAAGAAGGCTAAAGCCATGTTCCACAATTTGCCCTAAGGAATTTCATTAAGCAATTCAAGGTACTTTTTAGACATGGGAAACAAGAATGTTTATCAAGTTCTAAATTCAGAGAAGCAGAAATCAAAATTTATCTATAAAGACATATATAGAATGTGGCATCTTATAGCTCTTACTTAGACTTGTTGAACTAATTATATTTGATTTGAATCTCAAGTAAGCACCTCATGTTACATTGAGGAATGCAACCAGATCACTCATGTGGTAAGAGCTAATCAATCATTACAGAAGGAAGAGGTGCTCCATGTTATTGGGTGCCATACAACTTAGGTTATAACTTATGTTAAAACGGGAATAGCTGAACATTTTAATGTACTTAAATGGAGATGAGGTGACTAAATAAACAGTTGGCAGAAGAAATTTTATCAGGGTACACACCATAGAATGAAGCACAAAGAAAATGTGAATTGAAGAGGTAGAACCATAAGGAACAAAATAATAACACTGGATAAACACAAACCAAAAAACAGTTAGTTTAAAAATACTTGGCAATAAATTCATTAACCACTGACCAAAACTTGAAGTACGGAAACAAAAAAGACTGGGGTAATAAGGAAAATGCCATCTACCCTTTTTGGAACCATGATCATATGTTATCTATCTGCAGCCTACATCCATTCCTACTACAAAACTATGCTCATCATCATCCTACCCTCTGACCAGCAGAGAAATGGAAAGGTAAATGGAGTGAAGGAAAGAAGCAGTAAAGACTGGAGGAATAAAAAGTAAAAAAAACAACATGTGCGAAGTACCATTAGTTTTCTACCTTCTAGGGCGTATTGTGGTAGATGTAAAACCAACCAAAAATAAAAAGATAAGATTGCATACCAACTCTCCCTCCGCTCAAGACTTAGGGCTCATTTGGAGGCTTGCTGACTGACAATAACCTTAAATCTTCCAAGTCTTATAAACAGCTGTCTCCTCCACTGGTCTTGTCAGCTATGCCCCTACATGAGGTTGATTATGAAGTAATGTGACCATTCTTACAGGATATACACAATTATCTGTCTCATTACTCTGGTCACATGTGTACCCTCAGTGGCTTCAGTTTTGAATACAGGGTACATAAAAAGACAAATATGCCAACAGCAGCTAGATTCTGATAGGGAGGTAAGTAGCTTTTGTAATTATTACATCTAAATACTGTAACAGCATCTCAGGAGATTAAAGCTCACAGCCCAGTTAAATTCCTCCAGCCCATTTTGACACCCTTTGGCTGAGTGATTGTCCCATGAATTCATCTTCTTTGCTGAAATAAATTATGGGTTAGTTTTCACCTGTCCCAACCATAAACAGATTTAACTTTAAAAAAAAGTGTAAGTACAGGTATAAGAGCCATTTCAAAATAAGCAAAAGAAAGGGGGGGTGGGGCATGACTATAGATCATTTCATTTAGTTCTGAAATGAGAAACAGCTTACTCCAAGGATATACAGTTTTTCCTCTGAATTCTGAATTATGTGAGGATATTTAAAAGTTAAAAACATGGTTTTAGAAGCACAATGTTAATTCTTATTATTCAAACCAGGTAATTCCTAATCTAATTTTGATACTCACAAATCCAGATACCTCAACTATTGGATAGTAAAAATTCCTAAATCAGTTCACTGTAATTTTACTTTTGAAATCAATATTTTGCACCAGGACATTAACTGGAAGTCTAATATAACTTTTGAATTTTCCATTTACTAGGCTAAATAAAAAGTAATTTTTATAGAAAAAAAAAAAAACCCTCTCTATATCATAACCTCTCTGCTGCATATTTTGGGAAGACAACAACTAGAAATTTATTAAATAAGTATTCCCAAAACACAAAATATGCTACCATTATAAAAAGTCTGAATCCAATTTACCTGAAGGAGAGCCATGCGATGAGGTCATACTTTTAACCTTGGAGTCTGATAGTCGAGAGATACTATTAGCTCTAATTCTAGGAGAAAATTTATCTGATGGTACTAATCTGGCTCCACTTCTAATGATGGCTTCTGCGGTACGTGAAGAGGCACTACTTCTAGATATTGTTGCTTCAGAGTCACTACGAGCAGATAATGAACCAAGCCTTGTTCTACGAGGCTGAGCCAATAAATCAATCCTAGAGATGTTGCGTCTTCCTGTGGGAGGTTTTGATGTAGAACTTGTTGTGGATACCTCAGAAGCAACAGATGCTTTGTCAGCATCAGCTAGTTCACTGTCTGAAGCTTCACCAAGTCGTGCTCTGCGCAACAGGGAAGTCCTGGTAGGTCGTGGCCTTGGAAGAGTGGTGGATTTACTGGATGAACCAGATGCTACAGGAGAAGTCTTGGATTTAGTTACTTTACTTCCTTCCAGTTTGGAGTGTACATGTTCATCAGCTGAGGTAAGTGGAGTCCTTCCATGAGGTTTACAAGAGTAAGTTTCCTGATCAGATGACATAATATCAGAAATAGCAGAATGAGGTACACTAGAGGTTTGGTCGTCATCTGTCAAATCTACTGAAGGCTGTCTTATTCTTCCACTGGATTGCATAAATTTACGACCATCTGCTCTTGAACCTACATCTGTGGATCGACTTTTTGTTTTCTTTTCAACCTTCTCCCTCACACCTGAAGATGATGCTTTTGTAACATCTTTGGAAGGAGAACCCGAAGAACACCTATCTTTATAGAGACTAGTGAAACTCTTTCGCTTTTGGGTTGACTTTCTTTCAGTCTCTCCAGTAACCAGACTGATTGTACTAGCTGTATCCACATCAGATTCTGGTGAAATAGAATTGTCTCTATTATAACTGGGAGTATCTGGGCCTTCATCAGTTTTATTATCTTCACGCAGTTTAGCTTCTAGAAAAGCCATTACCGCTTCTGTGTCTTTGAGAATAAGGGTTGTGTCCATACTAGAATCAGTATCCATAGAGTCGCTTCTGTCTCGTATTCTACTTGCAGAGGTTAATGCTAACGAAGAGGGGGTGGATGAAGTCTGTTTATTTATATGGGGGATAAGTTCTATGGGTATGTTTGGGCTAGGCTTTTCTATAGTGAAGCTTCCTTGTCGCACTAATGACTTGGAAGATTCTTTCTTGTCTCCTCCCTTTGAAGTTTGACTTTTTAGAATTTCCTCAGCTTTTCTTCTCTTGCTCTCATTTTGTATCATTCTTTCTCCTTTGCTTGTTGAATGTCCAGGAATTTTCTCTTGAGGCTGTGACTCTTGTTTAATAGATTCTTCCTTGCATTTATCTATCTGACCTGAAACATTTTTTGAAGATGACAATTTAGTGGGTGTCCATTCTGCCTGCTCTTTTTGTTCATGTTGTTGAATTTTAGCTAATGTTTGCTTTACCAAAGAAGCTTCCTTATCAGTTTCACTTTTCTCCTTCCCAGGAGAAGAGCTGCCTAAGTTAAACAGTATTTTATTATCTCCAGTCTTAAGAGTTTCACCATTGACTGTCCTATTCATTTTACTCAGGGCTCTGTCAGCATCTTGTTTATCTTTTTGGGATACCTGTGTTGGTGTTTCTTTCTCCTGAAGTTCTGTGTCTTGTTTTTCTCCTATCTCTGACCTCTGTGTTATAACCTTTGCTCTGGAGCTCTCGAGAGACTTTTCTTCATTCGGAAGTTGGGGAAGGGTTCGTCTCCTTCTTTCTCCCTGACCAGCCAAGGAAGTTGCTGAGCCAGTACATCTCAATGAAATGCCAGATTCATTAATATCTGGGTCTATAAAATAAAAGTCACAAATATTAAAGTCATTAGGGCAAAAAGAAAAACAGAACATCTTATCATATTAGACTTTGAAGTAAGTATAAAATACAAATAATAAATAAGCCAGTATTGTAACCAGGTCATTTAAGAAGTACAATCCCAAGGTGCATAAATAGGCAGCTTATTAATAAAGGAATCAGTAAAGCAAATTGTATGAGACAAAAATTAGGATCATCTGATCTTAAACCTACATCTATTGTTCTCTTTCCTTTAATGTGTTTTATGTCTGGGCAGTTCACTGTGTTCATTCTTGTTTTTGGGACTTTTCCCACCGTGGAAGTTTTACTCCAGAAAACAGACTGGAACTAGTATATTATAGAATAGCAGAGACAATATTTAATAAACATTGATTATCTGCTATCTCTCAATTATAAGAGTAGAAAATAACATAATTAAAGTGGAAAATGCAGAATACTTTAAGAAAAATGTTTTTTAAATTCTAAAGCTGATTAAAAGAATTTAAAAATTATAAGACCAGTTATAATTTTACAAATGGAGGGATTTTTAAACTATGGCGTTCTGGTGTATCAAGGTCTCACAAAGAAATAGATGATCACTTTCTTTGTTTCAGCTAAGTAAGAAAATATATACTTTTGTATTTCAACATGAGGAAATATTTAAGGAGGATTCTCTTGGTTGTTAAAAATGAAATAATTTCTAGAAAAAACATACATATTTTCAGGAAAATATAAGTTAAAATATAAAGTATTCTAGTCTTTTGAGGATCAGTGGGAAAAAGGTGCTAGATATAGCGTTTGTGGATCCTTTTTCCTTTATAACTCTAAAAGTTTGGCATTTAAATGTCATGGCAACATAGACTAAGATGCACAAAAATACCTACCAAAATTTACTGATTAATTAAGCATTTAGTAATGTATTATCTTGTTATTTATTTTTTTCTTGTGTATACATCTTATCTCCTTAGTGTGAATTACAGCACCTAAAATCCAATGACTATTTTATCGTTTCGTATTTTTCTAGCATTTCTCCCACTATCCTGCTCCTGATAGCTACTCAATAAGTATATGCTTAATAAAAAACATTTTAGGATTTAAGTGGATTTTTCATCTTATCTAAATTCTTTATCTAAATAAATTCATTTAAAACATGGTAAGAAAGGAATGATATAACGAAGGTCAAGTGGTCTATTATTTTTTATAACAAGAGTAGAATTTTGCTTTTTACAGTTAATACTTGATACTTTTATAATGGATTCCTTGGTAAATTTATCTAGCCCCTCTGTCTGGTTTATTTGTTTACTAAACAATGCCTAGTTTATGCGAACCAATCTGCGAACTCCTCTCACTGGAGAGTAAATGAACAGGGCAGTAAATGGGGAGACTCTGAAGACTGCTGGAGATAATACAGCCCTGTTTAACTTAGGCAGCTCCTCTCCTGGGAAGGAGAAAAGTGAAACTGATAAGGGTGCTTCACCTACAAATTGTCTCTTTTCCTTCTTATCTTCAGTTACGATTATACTTTAATGATATTTGCATTATTAGTCAAAATAAAATCATACATTTAGTATGAACATGAGAGTAGTATGTGAACATAATGCTTTATTTCTCACTATCTAAATTTAGTTTGTTTTTGAAAAACTGTGGTGTATGGTTAAAAAAGGAGAGAGAATACCATTCTCTAAAGGAAGAGACACAGACAATTCCATTATCCTTTCTTCTTGATCATGTCTTGTATGATTAGCAGCCAAACTAGCCCATTGTGAAACCCAACGTTTATTTCCAGATGAAGATGTGCTTTCCTAAAGGTGAAAAACAAGAGAATAATGTAGCCTGGTTTAATCTGATTCTCACAAAACAAAATTCCATTTAGTCACATTAACATGTTATACAAACCAATAATTATATCTCACGTTGCTATATTATCATTTATTAAAATGATATAAAATGAAGATTCTCCAAGGTTCCCCTTTTGACTATAATATTCTAATATTATTGTGAATGCAGCATAATTTTCTCTATTAAATGCTAATAATGTTACTAAAGTAAACTCTTATTTTATTAAAATTTATTGGGCTGACAGATAGGTTCAGGTTTATATCATAGTTTTGTGACTACACCAGTGGAGTTAGTTCTGCAGTCTAAGAACAGGGAGTTCAAAGGTTTATCCCAAAGTTGTTCTCTAGCTCTCTAAATGTCTCTAGAAGTCTGATTTGTTCCAGAGTCTCAGAAAGTATTAAATCTGCTAGGTCATGTCTTCAGGGAGTTCAACAAGCCCAACCTTTAGACTTCTCTCTATAGCACTTTAAACATATCTAGAAGGAGCTAGAAATTACTCAACCTTCAACAATCTTTCCATAAACTGGTCTGGACCCACACCTGCCCATGCCTAGATCTGTCTTTAAGGCAAGGGCTCCTTGAACTTTGAAATGGAATTTAACTCATGATATAGTCCCACAGACTGATGGACAAACACTGACAATTTTTAAAACCAAGGCAATTCTAGGCATTTAATATGGCAAGATCTAGAGGATATAGAAAAAATATAAATATGTGTTCTTTTTCACTAAAAATCTACACCAAGGCTAAATACTGAAACTGGAATGACACTAGGGAGTGGAAAGCAACGACTGAAAGTTTATTTTGAACTATTCGAAACAAATATTTTATTAAAAGTGTCAGGTTTACTGTATTAATGATGACAGGTTAGATACTGACGGAATAAATAATCCATGCAGATTATATACTATATGATTTCAAAAATAGTAGATTAACTATACAGGATGATGTACATACAATGAAGCCTCTGGTACACCATTTGATGCAAGTAAACCAAAGCCTGCTAAATCCTTTAATTCACTTTCAAGGTTTTCTGGTACCTATCTGTCCTATAGGGTCACTATGATTCAGAATCAAGTGGATAGCAATGGGTTTGGTTTGTCTTTTTGGGCTCTACAGTTCTGAGTACTGAAGATGGTATCACAGCCATTCACACCATGCTAGGAATACGAATTCACACCATGCTAGGAATACCCAAAACAAGGTGGGTTTCATTGACAGACTTTTATTTAGAGCCATTCAGTGAAAATCATTATAATGGCCTGTTTAGGTAACTCCTACATAGGCAGGTACATACTGGGGATATATATAAATTTTACTGGGCCTAGGTTGAGGGGATACAGCACCAGGGAAGGAGTTTATTTTAGTTCACTAGAACCCTTCCTGGGTTAATCAGAATACCCACACAATGCCTCGAATAAATATCACCTTCTTTCAATAAGTAAATTAAACATCTTGTAGAATAAAAACCAGAGTAAAAATTCTCCATGATCAAGGTGGGGAAAAAGAACACTAATATATAATAATTGCTTTGACAGTTTTCAGGAAGTGGCAGACCATAAAGGGACAATTTTAACATTAATTCAAACATACAGGTCTATTTACCTTTCTATAAAATATTTATATTTTATCATATTTTACTTGCAAAATAAGTAATTTCATCTATATTTTATTTTACTTATATCTTGAGTTTATTCTATTTATATTTATTTATCATTCGTATATTTTAAATTAATTCATTTCCCAAGGGGCACTATAGCATATGAGTAAGAGAATGAGTTGAGAAATCAAGGCTGCTTATGGTTCAAATTTGCCTCCAAGAGGTACTAGTTTTAAGACCTGGCCAAGTTAATCTCCATGTACTTTAGTTTCCTTATCTATAAAATGACACGTTGAGAGTTCTCACTGAATATTAGCTCTTATTATTTGAATAAATTATAATTAGTTAATACATCTGAATTATATATATTTTTTACATTTCTTTTCCACACATCAGTATGGAATAAAATCCTAAATGTCTCTTACAGGCAATAAACATTTGCTGAATGCGTAAATCTGAGGCAGGTACTGTGTTGGATGCTGTATGTACTTCATTGACCTGTTGCCATCCGGTCAGTTCCACCATGACAGTATAGGACAGAGCAGAATTGCCCCATAGGGTTTCCAAAGCTGTAATCTTTACCAAACCAGACTGCTATATCTTTCTCCCACGGAGCGGCTGGTAGGTTCAAACTGCTGACCATTTGGTTAGCAGCTAAGAGCTTAACCACTGAGACACCAGGGCTCTCTGTACTTCATTAAACTTCCTTTAAATAGAATTTAACAAAAATACTACTTAGGTGAGCTCAGCTAGTACTGTATTTTCACACAAATAATGCGTGCCTTCTACATTTGTTTGCTAACCGCACCCTCCCACAGGAGGTATTTTCATAAGCACCACTATGTCAAATTTTTTTTCCATGGTACATAGTGATGCTTATGAAAATACCTCACAGAGGGTGGGGTGGAGCATGCAGAAGGCACGATGTTGTTTTCGTAAAATTATGTTAAGTGGCAGTACTGAGATTTGAGCTCAGGTCTTTCTAGATCTACTATGCCATACAAACTCTATACGATATTAATCAAACTGTCATTAATTTCACATTATTCTAATCACATCCAGGGTTACAGTGCTCTGGCATTTATTTAGGTATCTAAGTTCTATCTATCACATGCTACCTTGCACATGTTTACTGGCATGACACACAGGTCTTTCCATTTCAAATACATGACCTCCTAGGAGGTATAAGCAGTATACAATTACTATGGACTGAGTTGTGTCCCCTCAAAATATGTGTTGTAAGTCCTAACTCATATACCTGTGGATGTAATACCATTTGGGAATAAGGTTTTCTTTGTTATGTTAATGAAGCCATGTCAGTGCAGGGTGTGTCTTAAGACAATCACTTTTGAGATATAAAAAGAGCAGATTAGGAACAGAAGCAAGGAAGCAGAGATGAGGGAAGACAGATGCCAGGCCACATGAAGATCTCCAAGGAGTAGAAGCTAAAAACAGATACAGACACTCCCCCAGAGCCGACAGAAACAGAGAGAGAGCCTTCCCCTAGGGCCGGTACCCTGAAGTCTCATTTCTAACCTCCCAAAATGTGAGAAAATAAATTTCTGGTCTTTAAAACCACCCATTTGTGGTATTTCTGTTTTAGCAGCTCTAAGAAACTAAGACAACAATATTTCTTGTTTTATCTCATGATGCCAATTAGAGCAGTGAGCATACAGCCCAATAACTGTTCATTGAAATTTAACATTTTCCTTACTGACTAAAGAATATTAATTTAAAAAAAGAGAGTAACAAAAACTAAAACTGAATTGTTGCAAAACTGCTTTAGGCTTTCATTAGAAATAGTTTATGAAAATTTGGTTTTTCGAAGTGTTTTACAAGGGGATATGTCAATTACTTAAAATAATGTGATAAAAATTTACATTTTATGCATGTAAAAAGTATAAGAAAGAGATATGTACCTCTGAGTTGTGAAATCCAGGTGTACTCAGTGGTTTTCTTTCTTCCATTACTACTGCAGCAGAACTGATAGCCCAATCTTTTATCAGCTCTTTATGTTTTTCATTGATAACAGGCCTATTATAATCCTGATTGTCATCTACTCCAAAGACCTAGGGGGAGAAAATTATTTTATAAATGAAAATAGAAAGCCTGAGCATCAGATTAATATGTGAATATTATCATTAACAGCACAGGCAAATAAAAATATTTTAAATTAATTTCAGTAGGTAATTTCAATAATAAGGAAAACTTTTAAAGACAGAGTAACACCAAATTGGTGTGCTGGCTGGAGAAAAAAGAGGCAAATGACAGCTTATATAAACATAACTGTCCTTTTTAAATATATAGCCAATGTAGTATTTGATAAAAATAAGAAATATTTAGAATATTACATTTGTTAAAAGATGTTAATAATGTTGTCAAACATCATAATAATGCAGAGGTAGGAAACAGTACCTCTTCAGCTTGTTTCTCTGCTCTGTAATTTTTGAAAAGCATGCTGAAAAACTATAAACATATGGCTAACTTTATCTGTGCCTTCCCTAACAAACGTCTAACATTTACATGAGTTAAATTTATACATATACTTTTCTAAGGGCCCAAATAACAGATTTTACTGTATGATCTTTGTAGAGAGTATAGCATAATTCTCAAACTTTATTGTGCCTAACAATTACCTAAATATCTTTGTTTGAAATGCAGATTTCTGGGCTACTGACACAAATCAGCATTTTCAATAAGCAGGTTGTCTTGGTCAAAACTTTTAAAATATCCTAAATACAGAGATCAATAATTATATGTTTTTTTTAAGAGCAGAATCTGAGTCTTACTCATTTCCTGGTACATAATAGGCCCTTGGATATCTATCAACCAACAGACTGGAGAAAGGTGCAGCTACATAAACTTTAACACTCCATCTTACTATTAAATCTCTACTTTGTTCCCCAGTGGAGCCCTGGCGGCTGAGTGGTTAAGAGCTCAGCTACTAATCAAAAGGTTGGCAGTTCGAATCCACCAGCCACTCCCTGGAAATTCTATGGGGCAGTTCTACCCTGTCCTATAGGGTCGCTATGAGTCAGGATCGACTCAACGGCAATGGGTTTGGGTTTGGTTTTTGGTTGTTCCCAATGCTTATTCAGCTATCAGTTGTGGATTTGATTATTACAATCCTAAAAAGTATTATGCATCTGAATGAGCAATTTGTAGAAAGGATCCTTGGAACCTACTCAAAGAGCCTTATTTTCTACACCAAGAGAAAAATACCTTAGGCTAAACTACTTTCTTGAAATTTTGTTAAATAGTCATATAGTACTGCTATTAGATAAACTTTCTGAAGTTCACATTTAGTAAAGCAGGTACTGGATTTTCAAATTCACTAAAGCTTGGAAATTTCACCACTACATCGCCTTATTACCTAATATTTAATTCAAATATAACTATTAGTTTCAAAAATTATGACCTATATTCTGTTGAACCACTTACTACTCAAATTATCTTTGCTTTAAGAGCCAATTGTATACTATTAACTTTAAATCCAATATGAATTTTAATAATACATGGGAGAGCACAGAGTACTAAAGGGAAAAAACAAAAACTGCTTCATTTTGTTAAACATCAGAATAAGTTAAGTTTAACAATACTAGGGGGGAAAAACTGAGTATACCTTTCTGTGTCCTCTGCCTTTAACTCCATTTGTAAAGGAAGCTAATTAGACCTATTCAAGTTATTTCAGTGTCTGTCTTAAAAATAATAATTAAAATTATTTCTAACACAAGTAATTTTCTTCCCCTAAATTTACCGAAGTTTGTTTCCTTATTTTTATGACTACTAGAAAAATATCTAACTCGGTTTAAATGTAAAAGGTAAACCTGTGAGCAGCTATCTAAGACACTCCATGGGTCTCTCACCCCGTTGAGAGCAAGGGAAAATGAAGAAAACCAAAGACACAAGGGAGAGATTAATTCAAAGGACTAACAGACCACAACTATGATGGCCTCCGCCAGACTGAGTCCAGTATAACTAGATGGTGCCCAGCTACCACCACTGACTGCTCTGACAGGGATCACAACCGAGGGTCCCGGACAGCGGACAGCGCTGGAGAAGAATGTAAAACAAAAAAAGACCAGACTTAATGGCCTGACAGAGACTGGAGAAACCCCGAGAGTATGGCCCCTAGACACCGTTTTAGCTCAGTAATGAAGTCACTCCTGAAGTTCACCCTTTATCCAAAGATTAGACAGGCCCATAAAACAAAACAAGGCTAAATGGGCACACCAGCCTAGGGGCAAGGACTAGAAGGCAGGAGGGGACAGGAAAGCTGGTAGTAGGGAACCCAAGGTCAAGAAGGGGAGAGTGTTGACATGTAGTGGGGTTGGTAACCAATGTCACAAAACAATGTGTACTAATTGTTTAATGAGAAGCTAGTTTGTTCTGTAAACCCTCATCTAAAGTACAATTAAAAAAAAAAAAAAGGAAGTAAAAGGTAAAAATAACCCCATGTGATTACTTGAATTTTACATCTGTTTAACACGCTAATTTAGAAATTACCTTAAGTAATTATCTGACTTCAGAGGTATTTAATTTTAGTCTATTTTAATTTTAATCTTAAGACTTGATTTCCTCAAACATTTAAGCACCAGCAGTTTAAAATAAAATATAATAAGCCACTTCAATCACTTCTGATCCTATTTTGAAATGACAACAAAAGACATATACAAAAAGAACTAATGTTTTAGGGGAAGTTAAAAGTTATATGGGAAGAGATCATAAACAGCTTGAATCTGTATACTTCAAAGCTATTATACTTTTCAAATTAAAAAAAGTACATATAATCTGATATATGATCTAACAATTGGACAGAACTTGAAAGCTCCTCAAAGTTGAGACCAGGTTTGCTTGGTTTTCTCATCTCCTCATTCTATATTCTGTCCCTAGGTGATTTCATTCACATTCAAGACTTCATACTTCTATTACCAACCATATACGGCTGCTTACCTCTCACCCCTAGATGGCTCTCAAAACATACTTCAAATGCAGTAACACTATGATTCTCTTCTCCTCCACCTCACCCTTACCTGGTCTAAATCAAAACCCCACACTTGATTTTGTCTACAAAATTGTGGTCTCTCACCAGCTAGGGACTTCCTTAGGATAGAAGCCTGCAGTAGGAAACAGGGTCGGATTTCTATTTTTATGCTGCTTCTCTAACAAAACTCACCACCTTAAGTTTGCTTGTCAGTTTGACTATTCCACGGTAGAAACAGAAGGAAGGGGAGTGGTACAGGAATAAAACACTTCTTTTTGAACTTGTACTATCTCAGCTCTCTGGGGCCAGTGGATGTTTAGCGAGAACTCATTTATCTTGCGGGTGGGGAGTGGCTTTTATGTGCTCTTTCCTATAGTTCCCTTGACCTAGTGCATCTCTATTTTGGGAAGTGAAGCTCTGACACCTCCCATGGCCTCTAGGTTTGGGGTAAGAAGATAGCACCTCTCTCCCCATCCCACGCCAAGAATTATGGCACATCTTTTCCTTTGAATATCTGCATGTGAATATTTGGCATCTCATTTTCAGATTTCAAAACTGTATCTAGGTGTTGATATTAAACATTAATTTTAACATCCTGTTGCTGAGGTAAGGTACTTACTCATTTGTAGGATTCCAGGCTAGCAACCATACCAAAAAAAACAAAACCACTGACACTGAGTCAATTACAACTCACGGTGACCCAATGTGTTATAGAGTAGAACTTTCCATAGGGTAATCCAAGTAGACCACCAGGCTTTTCTTCCATGGAGCTGCTGGACAGCTTCAAATCGTCACCCTTTAGCTTAGTAGTCGAGGGCAAACCACCACCATAGAGGATATGAAAATATATATGACTTAGTCCCTGCTCTCTAGGAGCTTAGGTATTGTATAAAACCAAACCAAACCAAACCAAACACATTGCCATCAAGTTGATTCCAATTCATGGCGACCCTACCGGATGGAGTAGAACTGCCCTATAGGGTTTCCAAGGAGCAGCTGGTGGATTTGAACTGCCGACCTTTTGGTCAGCAACCATATCACTTAATCACTGCGCCACCAGGGCTCCAGTATAGGAGTGTATAAAAAAAAGAGAATGTCACCTGAAAGAATCACACAGGGACACTCTGTAATTAAAACAAAATTTCTATGAGAAGCAGGCTATATTTTTAGATTTTAGTTTTAAATTGAAAAAAGCAAACATGATAAATGACTGGTATATACAATACATGCCAAGCCTACAAAAAAGTTAACCTTGATTTTCTGCTATCTTACCATTATCATCATTATTATTGTGTAAAAGCTCATACACTATACCTAAAAAGTTCAGTTTCTAATTCTAAAATTGGAAGTGTGGGGAGAACAGTGGTATATCCAACTAAGAATACAAGGACTACTTTCATGGGGATTTTGTAAATATTATACCTCTTAAGTACTTGCAAAGAGAGGTCAAAATTATATTTGCTAACATCAGATATAGGATGCTTGCTTAAGGTGACAGAATGTAGGGACTAGTGTAAAAAGGGAGAGGGAGAGACCTTAGACATATAAATACGGTAATGCAAATACAGAGCAAAATGGTATTTCAATAGCAATAGTTCTTTATCAGTTTAAAAATTTTTGAAATCAGTTGGAATTCAGAATACATCTTCCCACAGATATGAGAACTTTAATGGGAATTTAACTACCAAGTTTTTGTCAGCTTATTTTAAAATAACAATTGAAGAATAGTATTTCATTGGTATTATCTATCATCTCAAGGTTCTAAGTAAAAATGCACTCATTTCAATTTCAATGATCCAAACACCTCTCTCCTCGATGAGCAGGGTCTTTACCACTTCAAATAACTATTGGAGGTTCCCACTAAAAAAAAAAAAAAAAAAGAACCCTGTTGTGGTCGAGTCAATTCTGACTCATGGTGACCCTATAGGACAGAGGAGAGCTGCCCCATAGGGTTTCCAAGCAGCAGTTGGTGGACTCGAACTATCCACCTTTTTTTGGTTAGCAGCCAAGCTTTTAACTACTGTGCCACCAGGGCTCCACTGGAGGTTCCCACAGTCTACAAAAATCAGTTAACACATGGTTACT